TATACCCACGATACATCTTCAGAAGTTATGCATACAGGCCGTAGGAAGCAATTTCACTTTGAGGGGGCACAGCCATATATTTTCAGTTGGGGGGCACTATCAACTACCAAAATTCCCTGACAAGCAAAAAAAGGCATCAGACGTTATTATTGAGGGGGCACAAGCATAAAGTAGCTATGTTTCCATAGTATTCTATATATCGGAAAAATTATTGCCCCCCCCCTCCCGTGAACCCGTTTCCTACGGCCATGGCATATCGTTTTTCCTACTCCGTAAGTGTGTACGTTTGTCTTACTTGTTGAACTGATGGTCATTTCTTGACACCAGGCATATATTTTCATCATTCAGGATTGTCAGTTTCAATTAATAATCGTAAAGGTCATGTCTTTAGATAACAATATATGTATATTCTACCAAAATGATGCGTGGGATGCAATTTGGCTTTATTAGTCTGAACCTCACCGAAAGCCTGACTTCTCCGCCCATGTATGCGTTCGTGATCTTTTCAAATGTCGATTCTTACTTCATCAATAATACTTCTTCTTTCAATTAAAATAAAAGTAGCCAGCTGCACATGATTAAGGTTTACAAAAAGTACAACAGAATTGTTTTTTGAAGTTTTTAAGATGTATCTTTCTGTTCCATATTCCTGTCGTATCGATTGGTAATGTTTTAAACGCTTTTGGAACTAGTGCCCATGGTCAAACAAAAACTGTTCAAAATCAGATCAATGTTTAGTCCAAATTGAAAAAGGGGCTGTTGAGTAGTGATGGATCTTTTTATGCCAACACCTACTGCCGACTGGGACTCGGGACCTCTGTTTATACGGTTTCATCCGAAGGACAGGTCTTCATGTCCTGCAGTGGATTCGAACCAGCGACGTTAGGATCAGCTTCTTACTCCGCCACTTTGGAGCAGACGCCCTAACCACTGTGCCACGCGGGCGACTCCAAACGAGTGTTTTAAACCCTAGGTTTCAGACTACGGTCAAGGGACTTGGTTCAGACGTAGGAAGTCTGGGAGCAGAGGCTCAAACTTAAGGGTTTCAGACTACGGTCTTGGACTTAAAAAATAAAAACAAGAGAATAATCAGAATGTAGCGACTTCGTTAATTTATTTAAAATCATATTAAACGCCAGACACCGTTAAGAAAAATTATTTTTCGTGGTTAGAAACCACAAACCACATAAAAATTGGTGGTGGCAGCGATGGAAAAAAAAATTTAAATTCATTATTTTATTATTAGTTTTATTTCTTTAAAGAAAAATCTTTACAATGAAAATTTCTCTCATGACGCTGTAGGTAGGAGTTCTTTTTAAAGAGTTTGTCACAGGTCTTGCATGAGAGTTGTACTCCGTTGCGCATGCGTTTCAGAAGGTGTTCTCAACAACAACAAAAGTTTTATTCAAAAGTTAAAATCTGGCAAGAATGCGACATTGCTGGCAAAATTTATTGATCTCGGAAAACCGTTGAAAGTTTTATTTAGATATTTACAAAAATTTCAGCAATGGATTCTTTTCCTTATTAATCTTACGTAATACTCACATAAAATTGAATACCTATCAGTTTTATTGTAATATTGATGGGCATTAATGAAATTTTTAGATTGAATTCCTCGACATTTCCATGCATCGTTTCTATGAAGCTTTTTGTTCAGTTCAGTTTAAGCATAATCTCATTACACATTCAATATTTTATGGAACATTGTCATTTGTGTATTCTCTATTGAACGGCACTGGGATATTTATAAACCAACCCTTACAAGAGAATTGACATTTTAAAAAAAAAGCTTTTCTCTAGATTCTTGGGTTAAATTTTGCACATTCTCTTCTGAATAGGAATTTTAATGATTAAAATAAACTTGATATAAACTAGCCATTGCTACAATTATTTTAGTTTACGTATTTTAGTTTAGATCCTGACACAATTATTACATTAATTCAAAATATTTGAAATTTCTACTTGCATTTGACCAATCACTGTTGTACTGGATAATGGGTTGCAATTTAATCTTACCATATCCAAAAGGTCAAGGTCATCGTCTTGATCTTAACATTTCAGGTCAAAACTTCCACAGAGAAATTTCATATACGTATTAGGTTTTCTTGCTCAGATGTTGTGAGCTTGATCCAAACTAATTTCTCAGATGACAATATTTTTGTGTTGCTTAGTATACTGAAAGCTAGAAAAAGAATAGCATGTTACTCTGTACAATAGTATGTGTTTCCAGATTTTTCATTTTTTATGCTCTATAGATGATATCAAAGTGCTGCTTTGAGATTCTGTTAATATATTTTATTCATAATATGATAATATTATAATAATATTCATAATATCATAATATTGTTTGTGATAGTAATATGCCTCATCATCCATTAAATGGTATCTTGTCTTGTTCTGCAATCACTTCATAAAGTTTAAAATTACTACAGGAATATTGTTTTGGTTTTACAACCTAAAGTAACTTTATTATCACATCTGGAATAAATTGTAAAGCGTAAAAATTTCGTCAGAATAAATATATATATTTTTTTTATGTGACTTCATATACATTTTATTCATTGTTGGGAATAAAATAGAACTACATCGAGCTACATCATGTACATGTAAAACCATATACAAAGATTTTCAAGTACATGTTTGAAGTAAAATTGTTTTCAGATGTCAAATAAAGGATTTGTTTTGAATTTCATTTTAGCTATATACCCATGTGTGTGTGAGAGAGTTTTTGGCTTTTGTTTGTTTGTTTTGGGTTTTTTTTTTTTTTTTTTTTTTTTTTTTTTTTTTTTTTTTTTTTTTTTTTTTTAAATATATGGATGCCATTGTTTGTTATGAGAAAACAAATTTACTTTTAATTAAACTAAGAATTAAACATTCGATGAGAAAACACTCAGATGATTACTTTGTAATGGTGTAGCTTTTTTACGGCCACACTTTTCTCTGATTATTTTGTACTACAAACATCTATACTCAAGTCTATGACAACTAAGACAAGAAAGCTCTTATACATTTATCTGCATTTGAAAATAAAACGTTTCCGTATATCCCATAAACATGGTTTTCACAACGCCAGGACTAAAACGGTGTCTTTCAGGGCTGATGTATGAATGATTTCTAATTACATGCAAGTCTAAGTGCAAATAGTTCTGTTTAGTTGCAAAGTGCAAAATAAATTGCACACTGACATATACTGATATTCATTAACTACGGGTAAGCTCTAAGTATAGTCAGAATACTGTGGAATCACTAATTTGTGGGGGTCAATGTTCGTGGGCAAGCAAAACTTTACTTGTTCGTGAGGACTTGATTTTGTGGGTAACTCATTTAAACGGTAAAATCAATATTCATCAATACGTAGACAAAATAATCGTTCGTGTGGATGAAAATTCGTGAGTAAGGTTGATCCACGTATCCACGAACATTGGTCCTCACGTACGATGATGATACCAGATACAAAAAAAAATTGCGATGGACTTAGTGTGTATTCTAGCTATATAAAGAAACACAAAAGCTCTCAATTCATCATAGGAACCCACGGGTTTTCTCTCCGTTACACAACATTCAACCCCGGTTGAATGTAGTGTAACGGAGAGAAAAACCGTGGGTTCCCAACATGGACGAACAATTGACTTCAAATCTCTTTACAGCAAAGAGCAATTTCATCAAAATAAGGAAATAATAGTCATGTTTTCATGACTGAGGAAGCAGAATAGAATGTGCAAATCGTGTTTAAAGTAATGTCATTACCAAAACAGTTCTTTAGACCACAGATGGAGAGAAACGCAATTAAATGCTACAGACGTTTGAAAACAAAGCAGGTAAGAAAATAATACATGTTTTTTAAAATTTGTTTGACCAATAAACAGAAAAGCAACACAATAAAATTTGCAGTGAAGTTAATGTACTTAGCTTCCATGAACCATGAAAATGTAAAAATAAGATCAAACCAATGAAACAACAAAAGAATACGGAAGGGTTGGAAGCAGGTAACAAAGAGGAGTTGGAATCCCCTGTCGACTTGTCACACCCGCCGTAAGCCCTTGAACCTTAGCCGTGGACCGTGGACAACTGATTTGCAAAAAAAAAAAAAAAAATAGTCAGCATTCGGTTGTACTTGAAAACAAGGTAATTGTACAAAACGACCATGGAATTTGCAAAAATGTTGGTTTAATAACCAAATTGTTGGTACCTGTTTTACCCCTGTTACATCAACGTATGTGTCAGTAGCCTGTCTCAGTTCATGAATTGATCTTTCGCAGAAAATGCTATTGCAAACTAAAAACCACACTTATGGTATAATGGTATTTTGCTACATAAGTAAGGAAACTGACGATAGAATTGTTTATTATTAAGTTTTGTTATTAGTTTGCCTTCAATGTCTAGTAAAATGTCCAAATCTGAAACAGATGTGTCAGAGTTCCTGATGTCTATAGAGCAAAGACCGCAACAAAAGATTTCTTTTTATGTAAAAGTTTTGAATAAATTCAGCTTCATAAAAACTCAGCTGATAAAAGTAAGTAGTACCCATGGGAATTCTAACAGATCGTCGGAAGACCTTGTCTCGAAAGACTACGTGTTCACGATCATTTATATCGAATAGACTCTTTTTCAATTTTTCGTGCGGAATGGCTGTACGGATTAAGTAAGGAAAAGAGTTTGTTTTGATTTGACTGATTCTAGAACAAGATTAACACGACGATACTTATCTATTAAACATATTTATCAATGGGAATGTCTACAAGTGGTTTACGCAGATCGATTGATTATTAAACCAATTCCTAAGTTGAAGTCACTGCTCAGTTAATAAATGGGTTATTTTTTTCCCATTAATAAAATGCAAAGTAAAAGAAGAAGCCTAGCTACTATGAATTCAAAAATTTTATCCATAAGATTAAATTTTAATAATTAATAGTTTTTTGACTTTCTTCGGCAGAACTTGTAAATTTCAGAAAAGTAACATCAAGTAACATGTGGAGAATAAAAATAACTAAAGGATAAAACGGATTTAATTCCCTTTATTTTCTTCACATTTAAATACTGATAAAACAGTATACAATAACACAGTCTGATTGTAATACGTCGCTAAATCATAAATATTCTAAACCTATATTTAACACAGTTAATTAAAGTCACAGATAGAAAAGGTTTGTTAAATATATACAAATATCTATCCGATTTAGACAATAAAAATAATTTTGTATTTAATTGTTGTATTAGATCCATATTTATCCTTTTCTCGAAAATAATTCTTGTAAAGCATTTTGCCTATTTTCAAATGTGATACAGATAGATAAAATATAAATTAATATAGTATAACCAATTTGCTGATAAGCGTTTAGGCAGACACTGAATTTCATTTGCGCTTGGTTTTCATCCTAATATAAAATGAAAATAAAAATACATATGCCATCCATTCCTCTGACGACTATCACAAAGGATAACAACAATTGCAGACAGCAAATATCTTTGGTCTTTTTGCTGGAATCTGTACATGTATTTTATTTTCACTCTCTTAATTTATGCCATTCAGCAATCTGCTTCCTTGGACAGTTCATAACTTCATTCCAGTGATGTAGCTCTTGACCGGAGCTCCTTCCTCCAATTTCAAGTCGACCAATCACTTCGTTTTTGGTCATTCTATCCCAATCCATAACCAGAAACTCCATGCTAATGTTCTGTAAACCCTCGTTGTAGGGTATGTCGAACAGAAAGGACTCGTTGAAAACCGGATTCAACGTTCGTTTTTTGACGTGTGTTTTCTTTTTGGCAATTCTCTGATTATTGTACAGAAGATATAGCTTTACTATTGGATCTGAAATTAAAAAACACGGTAATGTTGTAGAAAATATAAACGAAATACTGATACATGTACATGTATTTTGTTTGTTCAGCCTGTAGCTTGATACTCTATAGTTAGATCAAGTGACAAGTAAAAGGATTCAAGTAAACTGAATTATAGATCATGAAACATTTCTCTAACGTAAAAATAAGTGTAGGCATTTTATAAATTTATCTTCCTTTTTTAATCTCGCTTTTATTTTTATTTTATTAGTATAGGGTTTATCTGGAGCTTTTAGCTGTTTTTATAACAGTAAGTAAATTCTAGCTTGTGAGTCGTTATTTTCTTCCTTAAATGCTTTTGATCGATGAAATACCCCCAAAGTTTTCTCTATTTCCCAGCAGGGACATATTTATCAATGCTGGCATTTCGCAATCATAATTTGCTTAACGGTGGCATTTATTTCATACATTGTTTGATTAAGTTCCAACAGAGAGAAACAATGCAAACTAAACTAAGTTCTGAATTGAACGTTTCGACAGTTTGCAAACTGGTTGCATCAGATTGTTTTCCAAGACAACCACTGGCTAAATCGGTAATTTAACTCATCGATTTGTGTAAATTGCGATGAAGAGAGAAAATTCAATTTTCTCTACTTAAACATCTTTATGAAGCATTTGGTTAAAATTCATCAGAAATATGGAGATTGTATATTGAATCCGTGATGCTGCAAATGCGTTTTGATGGAAAAGTAAATGCGTTTTATGTCCCACTAGTTCAATTAGAAGATCAAAGATATTGCATCATGACCTCAATCTCTCATCTGACTGCTGTAAAATATCTTGAAGCCTAATTAAGTATATTGTTGAAGACTTTTAAACAACTCCGAGTGGAGATACTTATCAACATCAAATGTTTTGCGGCAGTCGATCTGAAATAGTATAGAGAGATGCAACTTTGATCTTTTACGTATGAAGCTTGGGCATTATATTCTTGCAATATTCAAATACAAATTGGTGTATGTTTTTCTATGGATACCTATTTGCACTACATTTAGTTTTATCGATAAATTCAATTTGTACTCCGAAAAAGGAAAAAAAAAAGATGTGTTGAAGTAGTTCGATCAATATTCTCGTCTAAGAGTCTACCTGAGAGTCCCGTGATGTCCATTTTCGGCAGATTCCTTGCCTTAAGCACGACCACTGTCAGTCTATTAGCCGCAGGCTGGTAGCAGAGCGAAATCAACAACTCTCCACGACCTTGAGCTTTGAACTGAAATAAAATTAAAAATTAATAAAGATTATTAAAAGGAAAAAGAACTTCATCGTCAATCATTTTGTAAGTGATTGTCACAGTGCCTGTTGGCCTCTTCAACATTCTTCAAACAATTCTTTGTTTATGATTTCTAAATGTTTAAAATGATGACCTCTTTTAGCTATTATATGCAATGTGTGTCCTGAATTCATTCAGATTTCATTCTTTTTGTTCATTTTTTGTTCCACTTAACAAAATAATCCCTTGACAACATTTTCTATCAATCTAGCAAGAGTTTTGTCAAATACATAACACTTGTGGGTCTTTGGTAAATACCAGAATTTATTTCATCCTTTGACATTTGTCTCTTTATCTACTTCCGTACCCCTGCGGAGATAACTTTCACTTTTCCTAACCGTTTTCCGGACTTTTCCTAACCGTTTTCCGGACTGCTATGGTTGTTATGCTCAGACAGAACTTATTAGTCAATCAGAGAAATCCTAGATGCTGTGTCTGGTGAATCATCTATTGTAATTACGTTTTCTTCTATAACGACACTACATAATGTCCTAATAATTACTCTTCCTCGTGACCTTTGTGTGACTTTTATCGTCTATGGCAGAATCTGTGCACCAAATCCCCAGGCAAACGGCAATGTTTTGTCAGAGTTAACGAAATAATTGAGCAATCTGATGGTATTTTTATTTAAATAAGGATGCTCTTGGTCGTATGACCTTGAGTTATGGTAGCTATTTCGCATTTAAATTTTGTCTGACACGACACAATTTATTACTTCTTGTGTTATCAGGGGTTGATCTATGGGTGAACAATCCTAAATGAAGTTTCTGAATTTCCGATCCGATTTGCAAAAATCAATACCATTGGTTGTATTGTCATCCATTCATAACACTATGGGGATATTGAATTTGAAGCATTTATTGAATGAAATCAGAACCATGTGATTGTTGAAGGAAAAATAATGACTTATCATAAAATTCACATTTGGAGTGAAATAAAGCTGTAGTTTGTTTCATCGAACCTTCATTTATACAGTACAAAAGCATGGGATAAGTTTGATAGTCTTATGAAATCATGCGTGAAGCTGTGGAGTGTAGTTTATCAGCTTTGCCTTTCCTCTTTATTTGTGTACATTCTGCTGCTGTTGCCACATTCTACGATTAATCGGAACTTGGTGCTTCCGCTGCACCATTATAAATCATGGTACCCACTTCCGTTACTGTTCTTACGGCTAGTGAACACGATGCTTAATATGTTTAAAATAATTAGGGAAGGAAATCACAATAAGATTATTGCACCTAAATTATATTATAATTAAATATGAAGAGATTTTTTTTAGAGAAAATCATATTTACTCCGTTGTTAAATGAAAAAGATCAGAATACATAATGTGAAAATGATTGGTTGTTATATTACATGTAAATATAGGGAAATAAACCACACTTTCTCTCGAATACTAAAATTATGAAAATGTATGTTTTGAAATTATAAGTTCTTCTAGATATCCAATGTGTTAGCTACAATTTGAATTCTGAGAGTGTTTAATAAATAATAAGGTAAACGGGTTTTCCTTTTCAAATAGACCACGTCACTTGTGCTATATGTGATGTATTCTGTCGCAATTTAAAACAACACTATATTTTATTTCATTTCTTTAAAAACTTCAAAAACATATCAGTTACACGGCTAGTTATTTGCTGCCCTGATACAGAAAAAATATTGGGTAAAAGAAAACCCGGAGTATATCACTTTATCTCTCCATTACTGTAGTTTCTGCAATATTTCACTTCATCGTCCGATATGGAATCGCACGCCCGATGTGAATGAAACAAAGAGGGGGGCAATGAGACACAGATTAGGAGGAAGATCTAAAGGGAAGAAAAGATATATATGATTTCAATTATGGCAAAGAAAAAAGACCCAAGTTGTCATCTCTGGTGGACTGATGTCTGAAGATATTGAACAGACGGAAAATCTCAGTACAGAGTCTGACGGATTTTTTTTTCATCATCAAATTACAGTATTCATTTCCTATTATTACTACATGGATAATATTTTACTTTTATACATGTAATCCTTTGAATCCCCCTACATTACCTATTCCAAATAACTCTGATTTTCTATTATCAATGTCTTCATGTGGGTCGTTATTGGCAAGAGTTTCATTGTTCCGTATTTCCGTGATTCCGAAAATAAATCAGTGTTTACGAACTGTACCTATTAGCTTTTACTAACATGAATGACTACACGACGTTGAAGTTGCATTAAACATAGTGCCAGATTCCTTGTTTGGCGTGAATACTGGATCCCCATTGGATTTTCTCTTACAGACTTAATTTAGGATGGATAAAAGCCCATATCTTTAATTAATGGTTAAGTTAATGGCTTTTGGGTACATATTCTGAACAGAACATCCTGAATCCTTGGTGAGCAAGTGTACACATCGTAAAGTGTACTAGTTTTTTTTAAACAGTTAATACCATTTTGTATTTTGTCAAATATCTTTTAGTATTTGAAAAACACAATCTCTCTATATCGTCTTAAATCCTTAATTATAATTCATTTGATATACACTATAACTTTTGTATTCAATATTGGCGTTTAATAAAAAAAAAAAACACCAATGTTACATTCCTTTAAGAAAAAAAAATCAGATGTGGCTTAAATACACTGAGCATTCAAATAAGGGAATAATGAATAATTGCATAAGAATTCGTTTTTTGTAACTTAAGTTTAAGCTTACCACAATTGTCTTTAATTGTAAAATGTCTTAGAGCTTGTGTGACTATATACTACGTATACTTAAGTCTTCGACTGTGGAAATTTTAATTTCATTTAAATTCAAGTAAATCATTAAAATATTGATATAATATTCAAATTGTCATATACATATAATTAATAATTCTATATACATTGTACATACATACTGTACATGTAAATATTGGTGTTGAGGAATCGGACAAATGATATTTTGGAGTCCTATTAAGTTGTAAAGTTTAAATTTTCTAGAGGGGGGGGGGTTAAATGCAAAATTTACAACATGATAGTCCCTCCCCATAAACTTTCAATGCTCAATTTTATTCATTAAAAATATTTAAATTCTATCAAATCTTTCAAAATATTTGTAAAACAAAGAATCAAATGTACTTATATTTAAAAAAAATACTTGGAGAGAGTTTTCTTTATTGACATATTTCTGACGGATATTATGAGATTTCAACCTCTCTGAGGGATAAATCATTCATATAAGTTGTATTTGTGACCAAAAATAATCAAAAAAAAAAAAAAAAAAAAAAAAAAAAAAAAAAAACCAATATCAGAACCAAACATGAACAATTGCTGGGAGACTGAAATGTATACATGAATGTTACTATTAATCTATTGCCTGCATGTCTGTTTCAATTCTTGTCAATATATACAGTGCAGTAATTTTTTTTATCTTGTTTGTTTTAAAATTGTTCCAAATTTTCTTTTGTTATCTTAGATTACTTTATGGATATGCGTGAAATAATTCATCATATCTTTTGCATAAAACCTGATAAAAACTTATCATCCATGGGCATTACTATAAATTAGCCATTTCTCTACGCCTACTCGTCCACAAAAAAAGAAGAAAACCAGCAATCTTGAATGTCCGATCCAATTATATCAAAATTGCAAATACATCGCACAAGGCTATTACTCTAGAGACTAGAAACTGCAGTATGTTTGCCTAATATTCTTTTGAGAATTTCGCTTCTGTGTTCAATTTAAACTTCCAACAAATTATTTTCGGAAATGTTCAGTGGTTATATTATTTTTGCTTTCATGTGTAAAACATTAATTGGACATAAATGACCATTAACCCTCTGGAGTTGATTCTCAATGGCTGATACGTTCTACATTAAGCAGATAGGAAACATAGAGATATTGAAGCATAGTAACGCATGAGATGTCCCTCTCCTGAAATGTTCTTCTAGGGGAGAAAAAACCCACTATTAATGAGTCCAGATAACTAATATAATGCAATTATTTGTCAGAATTTAATATGAATGACCTACTATAAGTTATAATCTTTGAATTAAAACATTGAGTCTTTTCTTCATTGACATCGAAAAGTTGATCGATTTTTAGGAAGGAATAATTTAATGTTATAAAGCCTACTCTGACCAAATCATACGATGGGGGAGGGAAGAGGGGGTGGGGTCGGGGTGGGTGGGGTGGTGAGTTATAATGTGTAAATATAGGATGTTTTAAGTTCATTATATCATGATGACATTGGTCATCTTTCATACGCTACGGTAATATTTCCGATTACATCATTTATTTTGTTCATTATTAATTGAATAAATTCAATGTCATTTATACGAGTACGTGCAAATGCTTTCCGAAAGAATAAAAGACTTAAGTATATGCGTGCATGTGCGCATGTAGTCATGCTTTTTATTATGCGTGATATTTATAACAAAGCTGAGTCACCGTTTGCTTAACTCAAGTAGGTTTACACAGACTTGATCACATTGGTAATGGAATGATTAATAATGTGCATTTAGCTCGATTAGGTAAATTTATCTTATTTAAAACGAATATGATATTGATCAGGTATTAACATAGGTGTGCTTGGACGTTGACGTCATGTTCCTGGAACCAATGCCAGTAACACTCACTGTGTCTTAATATTTGTGTTGAAAATGCAATAAAATTTCTATCTGTCTGTATGGAAATAATTAGCCGAAATACTACAGCAAATGAGCAAGATTGATTTTTCGGCAAGAAAATTCCTTACAAACCATCAAGGAGATATTCGACCATGCATGGCTTCAATTCTGTGGCAATACTGTTTAATATCCTAAAGAATATCCCAAAGAACATTTTATACATATATATGGAATACATCTTTTCTGAATTTCAGTGAACAGTGGAGAAAGGAAACGCTTACATTTTTTCTTCTATCTCTGCATACATGAACAAAACTCGCAAGATATTCTGCTTGTGAATATAATTTTGTCAATAACAATAGGATACATTTAGCATCCTAGAAACTGCAAATTATGTAAATATAAATGCACTTGCAATTTAAGTCCAAAATCTGCCACGTAATCTTCGTCTTTCAGCAACCAAATTCAAATAAAGTCATTAGAAAAATTAGCCGACAGTATCTTGTTTCAGTCAATCGGTTGCAGCATTTTTTAAAATTCTATAACAGCCTTGGATAACCAGAGAAAGGGCTAAAATACTGCACCTGATGAAAACAGCAGAAAATACCATTCTTGTCGACCATCAAGGCTTGTATATTCTTACTAAAGTCTTGGGAAAGTTCTTTCTGCCTCTTGTGGGTTATCCATTTCTTCGATTAAAACATATATGTACATAAAGATGAGAACATTTTGTTTAAGACATCATTGTATGCTTTAAAGAGTCCTTTCTGAGCGGATTCGTTTCAAAAAGATCACAGTATTTAGTAATGGAGAAAAAAAAATGGTTGAACATCATTATTCGGAAAGGTTTATTTTCTTTTCGAATGAAACGAGCTTTGGCGAAAAAAAAATCATTCTTTCTTGCAATTAAAAAATGATAATAACGGTGTTTTTGTGAATATCTGATATCAACCTCGAGTAATGAAGGTCACAAAAACTGTTGTGTACTAAATAACTGTTTTAATATTTTCAATGTTGTTAAATTATCATCAATTATTTCCTTTATTAAACCTTTGAAATTGTTTCGAGTATACTAAAAAAGAAATCTATCATTTTTAATGTTGGACCGCTATGACTTTTTATGTCATATTTAATCCAGGATCATCTGACATACATGAGTCAACAAGCCTTATTGCCGTCTTCCTCGGAAGACAGTATAGGAAGGATTGAAGTGTTTTCCAGTTTTCGGACTATGCACTTCATATCCTTTGTGATAGGTAGAAAATGTTGTCCTCGAACCTAGTCAATAAATGTAAAATATTTATGTCAAAGTATTCATTTTCTTATCTTTGGAGGAAATACCAAAGGCCGGCATCTTATATATCTAATTTTATATCTTTGCTTGTTTCGTGGTATTGTCATTAGTTTATTATCCTCCAAGGTTACTGCTCGAATAAAAATTAATTAAAATGACTGTGACGTCAGCAAACAACCGCCACCAACTCCAGTGCGTGATCTTTTAATGAGATGGAAGGATTATCCTAATAATACATGTAGCTTAATTTACCTTTAAAACCCATTCTTCGGTAGAATTTTAGGTAGAATATGGTACGTTTACATTTTTTTCATACTGAACTTTTTAAGATAAAAGGAATTGTCGCTTTTATCGAGATAAAGTTTCAATATTTTCTAGCTTAACACAGCTATTAACGTTAACAGATCTGCCTTCAAGAAAAAAAAAATAATCTGGGGAAAAAAATACCAATATAGTTAAATAATTTTCTTTCAGATGCCTCTTCTAGATCATATTCATATTTAGCGTATCTGTACATGTGTAGTGTCGATCGACTTGACACTTTTGGGAATGTCAGTAGAAATCTAATACAATACAAGTGGCATTGTTTTCAATTAGTTCCCTTAGAAGAGCCATATCTTCTTCCTTTAATTAGTTGCCACAAGATTTCTCGGCTGATTCTGATGAAGAGTAACCAATCAAATCTACGCCTACATCTTCCTTTGCAATTTTTCTGAAGTCTTTTTTTTTTATATGCTATCTGATCGAGACTTTAATAAAACTTTCAATTACATGCAATCTGAGCTTAACAGTGAACTTATTCCTTTGTTTAATATAAGTTGTCTGCTTTCAAAAATGTCTCATTACTCATCCAGTAACTGCATCACTAATCTGTAATCTATATTACACTTTAAAAACTAGCACAACATCAAATATCTTCCGTCATTATCTAGATGTGCCATGCTGTTTTCATTTCCCTTTGGTTTAATCATGTATTATTTGAATTTTAAGTGTTCTATAAAAGGGTCGGGAAAGAGTCCTCTCAGTTTATAAGTTCCTCTCCTTCGATTCTTTTTTCTCTTTTGAAAATAATTAGGGTCAGTATGAAGTTTTTTCTTAATTATCTTTCTCTTCCACGATTAATTGAATTCTCTATTGTCTAGGATCTATGTTGGACGTGGAAATTTGACAGATTTATTTTTAATAAATATTTTGTGAAGGGTATGATTCTTGCTAACAACATCCGCAAACTGCTTCAGAGTCTTGAAGCTGTTATTATCTCTCAATCAATCCTTGGCATTTTGTGGGAGTGTAGTCTAATAATGTGACATGAATCTGATGAACAAAGCCAGATTTGTCCAGTGTACGTCAATAACAGATCAATAACAGGATAACTGAGACCCAAACTTCTGCCATATGGCAAGACAATAATAATAATTTAAAAATTTTAACAAATACACTTGCGTATTGCGTATCCCCCTAAAGAAAAAAAAATCACCATTGCGTCAAAAATTGAATAAGATTGCATTGGTTCTCACAATATGCCTAAGTTCTAGACAGAAATTTTCTAATTATCCAATAGAGGCATGAGATGTTCTTAAGAGCTTTTATACAAAATATTGTCTGGCTTATTAGTATTTTCAGGTCGTGTGAATGAACCCACATCTACACGCTGAACATAGACTCGCAACACGATTACTGTACAGTAATTGTTTCAGGGTGACCCCACTTTCACAGGACTATTCACTTATTTGATTTGAATATCCATTTCCCAAGGTTATGCTAAAGGGGGGGGGGAGGGGGCATTTTCTTTCTAATTTATTACTCAGGGGAATATTGGTCCCCAGAGTGTGATGAGCTTATGGTAATTGAGAAATTCTTTTTCCTTCTTTTTTCTAAAAAGCACTGTTATTCATTTGGTATCATGATTTGTGCATAAAGACTCTTATAACCCAATGAATTACATATAGGTATATTGATTCTTAAGGCTTATGACCTACCTTCAAGTGTCTAGGATTGATTTCCTTAAAAAGGAGAAGCTCTTTTTGCTCAGTGCTGACGTCTGTCAAAGGGTACACAACCTCTCCAATGATTTCATCTCGAGAGAAACGATCAAAACTCAAAATAGCAAAGTGAAGGGTTATTCCAGGTATTTGATTTTTGCCGATGCCATAAAAAGTAAAAGTCTCATCATACACAGGGTGCAGGGTTTTACGCAAAACTCTGGTTTTACACTTGTGTTTCTTGTCTGGAAGAAGCTGTAGTTTAATGTATGGATCGCATCCGCCTAAACTAGGATCTCTTGGAGGCAAATCACTGGCGCGAACAATAGTGACAAGAAGGGCTGTATTGTGTTCATCGTACTCCACAGAGAAATATAACATACCCAGTCTTTGTTTCTCGTCTATCTGTCTCTCTCTGAGACTTACATCCTTCTCACTTGGTGTAGTCACAGACTCTTTTTCATTTTCACAAAAAGCTTGATCAGGAAACGAAGAGCACTGCCCTCTTTCTGATGGAATGTTATAGCCTTGCTCTGATGAGCGATCTATTATGCTGTCTTGCGGTGGTATAATGGGGCTGGTTGCTCTGTGTTGCTTCAGTGGTGTGCTTTTGACCGATGAACTGCTTCTTCGTCCGTGTGTTGGTTCTTTAAGACCCTTTTTAATGGCATGCGATAGTCTGTATTGTACATCCCTCGCCCTTCTTCTTTGATAGCATCGGTATCCTATGATGCTTATTCCAATAAGAAAAACAATAGAGCCAATACAGATCCCTGCTACAGCCCCTGTTGTGACTGAAATAGATATCTATGTCTTAGATGCATTATCATACTTGATTTTCATTCGGTGTCAACAATAGGGGATGGAAATCCTTTGAGGATATTGAAATTTCAATGAATTATGATTTAATCTACAATGTTTGTGAAAACATTTGTGAGCTACCATCACTACATCTACTATAATCAGAGATAAAAAATAATGTATATTATAAAGCTCGTGAACAAAGAATAAGAAATCAATGCTTCTAAACTAAGAATTTGAAGATTATTTACTTTATGGGGCATCATTCTACTTGAATTAGTAACGTATAACAAGTTATCTATTTTTTCATTTAAACCACATTTTAGAATTTTTTTTCTTTGCCGAATTTCTTTCTTTTCAGGTGTAACATACCAATTTATAGAAGAAATATAGAAAAAATCTTTGTCTTTATTTTGATTATAGATTTGAACATCACTTGACTTCGGTTTTACATATTTTTTAATCCAGGACATCAGAGTAAATAGAAAATAACAGACGTAAATGAAAGGTTAAAAAAATCCCAGTCATTTATTTCATTGTCTCTTTGAGACACTAATTACAAATCTTACGTTTTTCGTTCTCTTGAGTAATTTACGGACATCAAATGATACCACTTATATTTATAACTTTGATGTTGACACGGATTAGTACCCAACACTGCGCCATGAATAAATACATTATTAAAGGATTGTCTGCTGCAATAAAAAGTCGCCAAACACATATTTTTAGCTATGTATTATTATTTCTAGCACTAAGATCCAACAGATGGTAATGAATATTACATCGTTGTGATCGGATTTTACAAATATGACGAATAAAAAATTACAGTTGGAATAAGAGTAACATTCTTTAGGGCAATAGACATTAACGAAATAGACATTAACGAAATAAAGATAAAAATTATGTATATATATATATATATATATATATATATATATATATATATATATATATATATATATATATATATATATATATATTGAATTTTGTTGAATAATAATGGTTTGATTAATACAGTTAATACTGAAAGGGTAACGACTTTTGTTGATTAGACGAACCTCCTTCAACCATGTAAATTTACATCTTAAAGTTGTTTCAGAAATAATTCCCGTAAAGTATGATTAAATACAGAAAGAAATACATTTCCATGTAAATAAAATATTTTCTAGTAAATTTAAATCCAGTACTTACGCAAGTGATACTTTTCATGAACAGGGTGTACTTCCACGGTTTTCATCTTTTAATCACCTTTTCCAAATTAAGTGGTTCAAAACAATGAAAGTGTTTTGATTTTTCAGAACAGAGTCCCTCACATTTTCATTAAAGTGACACTAACAATTCTAGAGAACAACAATCGCGATGCTATTCCAAAAGCCTCCACAGAAAACTGGGAATAAATCGATAGTCAGAGACTCCGGTAGTCACGGCAGACAACAGCGCCATTGTTTGTGTATTTACTCGTGACGCGGTCTTGAGATTTTCGAGAAAGAGAAAAATCTTCCAATTTTTTGATGCCATCAAAACTCTGGAGAAATCAATAACGATATCTGATGGCCGATTGTAACGTCATTAGATCTGCGGGTTCAGTTGAACCACCAGGATAATAATATGTAAATGTTGGAGTCAGATATTCCAATCTCATAAATAATATAAAAATTATAATCCCATGGGTTTTAAGTATGTCATTTAGAAATGCAAATTCTAGATCTCTATTTTTCTTTAAAGGAGATGGGTGAACAAGGCGCGCAAATTGCCCATAGATTCAGATGTATAAAAATCATAATTAGTTTATGAATTTAGTATTTAGAGTAAAGTTCTCATTATTGAAATTTATGAAATTATGTTAAAAAAAAATTTTCGGAGGAAAATTTTCTCGACAAAAATTATTCTGTTATCAAAAAAATTATATGGTTTTCATGGGTTCGAACCCTAGCAATAAAAATCCTGAGTATCATTTTTCTTTGAGACTAACACGCAAACAACTATGCTACACAGCTCCTGTTGACTGGTGGCATTTCAATAATGTTTGTGATATGACCGTTGACTAAATGGACTTCAAGTATTTCTCGGAAAGATGCGAATATTGTGTCATAAAAGTGTATTTTTAAGGTATAGTGGATCTTTGTTCCATTATTTTTTAACCAAAAATGTCTATTTTTACGTAAACTTTGAGAATAAACTTTCAAGAATATGGAGCGAAGACCCACTATTATCGAAAAATTGTGTTATAGTATGAGAAAATGATCCTTTTGCCCTCTTCATTGTGAGTATGCTTTTTTATAGGCAAATAATTTCAATCTTTGTGAGATTTTTGCAAATTGTGGAGATTTCACATAAAGTATACCTTAATTTTAGATGAAATATCAAAGAAAATTTTGTTATAATTGAGATTTAATTTTCACCTTCATGTTTGTCACACTATAGGCATTGCGCTCGCCTTGTTCGCCCATCTTACCTCTTACTGATTTATTTATCATGATAGGCAAGTACCAAATTCTTTCAGTAGTCTAAGTCATATATAATGAATATGTTTTAATCAATCTTTCCCAAATCAGGATTTACCGAAAGGACGTGACTTGGATGCAATTTATATAAACCGATTTGACTCTATTTATAATCTGCAATTTTAATGTTAATATATTACTCTAACTAGTTCATAAATCAACCCTTCTATACACAAAACACTAATTTTATGACCCCATAATCCGGGATTCGGAAGCATATAATTTTTGGTCTGTCCGTCTCTCTGTTAATCTTCTTATTAAAAAAATCATGTCGAATTTTTTTTTTACCTTTGCTCATAACTTTTGAAGTTCAAAAGTTATGAGCAAAGGTAAAAAAAAAATTCAAAATTTGAGCCGTTGACGCTAGTGCTTTCATTTTTCACATATGTATTCCTCATGACAATAACTTTTTTGGGGCACCAACATATTTGACTTAATGACCTTGACCTTTGAGTTTGGCCTATTTTTGAAAAAAAAAAATTAAAAAAACTTTTACCTTCCCCTTAACTTTTGGTAGGGCGCCCATAACTCACATGTCTTGTCTAGTGACGAAACTTTTTGTGTAACAACATTTCTGACACAATTTGACCTTGACATTAGAGTCCGACCTACTTTTGATAACTCTAACCTTGCCCAAAACTTTTAAACGATTGATGCTAGGGCTTTCATATTACACATGTGTATTCCTTGTGACAAGACCTTTTTATGACTACCATTTGTAATATTATGGGACCCAGTACTTTATCAGAATCATTTTTTTTAAATCCATGTTACAAGTAAAGACTACAACTCAAGTACAGACTGTCTACAAATGCGTTACAATTATCTGTTTCTGATACTGAGATGCGAAATCTATATCATTGATAGCTCTCTGCATGATGCAACGGTGATAATAAAAAGATTTCTTTGTAGACGCATTGTCTGAAATAAGGGTTCAGTAGAGAATAGGTTAGTTTATAAGAATATAAATTTGAAAGAGCGTAAGTCAAAAAAGTGCAAAATTTTGTACTGAATAATTTAATTCCCATTTGAGTTTCAAATACTCATAAAAAAGTTTTAAATAAATGTACCTAATTAATCACTACATTACTTTACATATACTGACACGTCTTTCAGGCATTTGTATCAGTACAAATGGTTATACAAAAACAACAATTATTAGAATAATAATTGTATTTATGTATTTAATGCAGTAATTTATTTAGAACTTTTTAGTAGGATTTTATGTTTATAAATTGTGAAAATTCTTAGATCCACGCCCTGGCTGATGTATCAATAGCTTTTAGCCAATGATGGTGTAAGGTAACGTGGTCAAAACAGCGAGGCATTCAGTTGTATTTTGATACCCGCACGCTGACCACCGCTTACACGAGGCACGTCTATTTTGAAGACCCACCTCCACCCCAGCATTCCTACCCCTTAATATGGTTATTAAGGTGTCATGTAAAATTATATTTAGGCCTATTTTGTTTTTATATGCCATTTTTTTGCTAACTTGGCCTATTCTGTTCTTGATGTGCCATCTTTTTGCTAACTTTTTCTTATGATGTGTTGACCTATTTTGTTTTGATGTGCCATCTTTTTGCTAACTTTTTCTTATGATGTTTTGATTGTCGTGTTTTACAGGTACTTTTTTCTAGTAATTTTTGGGGAATCAGACATTATCATATTTTACGTAACTGATAACCAAAACTTGTGAATCTGATCCCCCTCTTGTGTGTTAAATTGTTTATGTTTATACCGTCATTTTAATAAATGACATTATTCATCTCTATGAAAGTGTTTTATTTGACTTGTACAAAATTAGCAAAAACTAGCTGCGGTGAGCTTGCCTATAAGCATTAGAAGACATAAAGTGGTATGTGTCGACATGATTTTTAATAATGAACTACACTGTTACCAGAGATAAGAATCCTCTAACACCGGATTTTGTATGAAGGATAATCGCTACTCTGTCTTACACTAAAATAGCCGAAAGAGAGTGGACTCAGGAGAGTTATCTAACTTGCTTAGTGGGCTCGAACGAGAGGGGAAGTAGTTGTAAGCTGACACTAAGCGTTTAGCGCTGCACTTAAAAATGTGTTTAGAAAAGGAAGTAACAACAGTAAATAACAGGAGATAATTATGTTGACATGCGACTTATTTATGCAACATTTAAAGTTTATATGAAAATCGGTCATTTTAAAAGGGAAGCTTGGCGTAATCATAATAAGTTGCATGTCAACATAATAATCTTGCATGTCGACATAATTATCTTGCATGTCGACATAATTATCTTGCATGTTAACATAATTATCTCGCATGCTGACATAAATCGCATATTGACGTACATAAGTCGCATGTCAACATACTTATCTCGCATGTCAACATAATTATCTCGAATGTTGACATAAATATCTTGCATTTCAACATCGTTATCTCACATGTTGACATAATTAAGTCGCGCGTCCACATAATTATCTTGCATGTTGACACAGATATCTTGCATGTTAACATAATTATCTCGCATGTTGACAGAAACATCTTGCATGTTAACATATTTACCTCGCATGTTGACATAAATAAATTGCATGTCAACATAAATAAGATGCGTGTCTGGATAATTATATTGCATGTCTATATAATTATATCGCATGTCAACATAATTATGTGACATCTATGATGTCAGATACTGGCGTTAGAAAGTAAATTTACCCATATTAAAATCAGATTCTCTTTAAAGATTTGTAATTTGCATGTCAAAATAATTATCTTGAATGTGTACATAATTAACTTGCATATTGACATACTAGTACTTTTCTTGCATGTTGACAGAATTTATCTTGCATGTAGGGGGCAGAAATATGCCACCATAGTTTTTCTAAGTAGTTATCATCTTTGTTAGTTTAAGAAACGGGATTTCAGATTCAATGAATTCGGTCTTCATCTGTGTCAAATAGCTGTGGGATCTATCAATAGGTCTATTTTATTTACAATTGTAATGAAATTTCTCTCCCGAACCATTGTCTCAAGAATCATGGATTGTAATGTCTGCTGACCTGAAGAGAGACAATTATTTATGCTACCTCAGAAAATGCAGAAATTAGTACTGAATGTCTAACATAATGTTACTGAGAATACATGAAAAAATATATATTGGTGGTTTGTATGGTTTGTATAAAACTACTTTGATCGGAGTGATAACATTCATATCAGCTCTGTGTCTGTTGAGAGCTTTTAATATTACTTATTGAAATAAATACCCGATAATGGTTATACCCAATTATACTTGTGATATTCATGGGCGAATCTTGAGTGGTTTGGGGGTCAGGACCCCCCTCCCCCTTGCCAGCCTGTAATTTCCAGAGTTGTTAAATTTCTGTGTAAAAATAAATAACGAAAAAGTGAACTTAGACCCCCCCCCCCCCCCCCGGACGAAAGGGAGATGTCAACAAACAGAAGATAATTAACTTTCAAATTTTATTGGGAAAATTTTTAGGTTTTATTAAAATATTTTTTAAAATTATTTATTTATTTATTTATTGGTTGACTTGTCAAAAAAAAATCCCAGTCTGACAATTCTTATAGTTGATGTAGAACACCCAAACCCCCGAAAAAAAATTCGGCCTGGATCCGCCTCCCCCGATGTTCTATGTATGATAATCAAATTTTCATTGATATTGACATGTAATGAGTTGTGGAGATAACGAACAGTATTCAAGCTCAAAGTCCATTAAAACAATATAAATCGGGAGGAGCAAACATCGACCTCCAAAAACATCAATGGTGGGATAAGGTGCCATGGAGGAGTGAGCATCCCTAACCGACCGGTCACACTCGCTGTGTGCTCCTTGTCATGATCGGGAAATAACGGAAAAATCCGTCGACAATTCAGTGTGTAAATAATGGCCTAACAAATAGTATGAAAAAGTCAGTCAGCATATGACTTAATGATAGATTGTATTTGCTGACAAAGTCATTGT